GCCAGCAGCCGATAAGTCTTCGAGACTGTTGAGGACAGAGACATAATGATGAATATCAAAGATTAAACAATGTTGAGAAGTGACACCTATGCTGACGGGTTTGAGATGAGGGCAACCATTTAGCTTCGTCGAGAAGCAAGGTCTTTAGGGTCATATCTTTGAATTGTTGACTCTCGTGTCGACCGACACCGCCTTTCGCGTCGACTCAGGAGTGTCGACATGTTCGACTGGTTGGAATGTTGTCTCGTCTCAGCTAATAACCGTCTCTTGAGTCGATATAAAGATGTCGACTCATCTGGGAGGTCAGGATCTCTCATGTCGACTGTCACCGCTTCTCGCGTCAACACTGGGGTGTCAGATTGTTGTGCTGGTTGAGATGCTGACTTATCAAGTCATATATTCGTGGAACAGATATGTCTCATAACATATACCCTATGTTTCGATTGTTTTTCACTTATATCCCTAATTTGTATTTGGTAATAAAAAAGGCACTAAAGATTTTTTTATTTTGCACTTATATACCCTCACTTTTTTAGCGACGCTCAAATACTCTAAAGTTTTCAACTAGCGCTTAAATACCCTTAAGTTTTTTAAATTTATACATAAATATCCTCAGGGTTTATAAGTGCAAGTTTTAAAAAACTTTAGTGTATTTAAGTGTCAGATTTAAAAACTTTAGGATATTTAAATGCATGTTTTAATAACTTTAGGGGTATATATGTGCTACCAAACATAAGTGACAATATATAAGTGCAAGTTTAAAAAACTTTAAGAATTTTTCTTGCCATAAAATTACTGAGTGAGGGTATATAAGTGAAAAGTAGATGAAACAATAGGGTATATAAGTGCTATTAGCCCTTTTTATTTAGTCCCCAAAAGTTTCAAAATGTGCAATCAATCCACCAGATTGTTTAAGCTTTTCAAAATTGTTCTCTTAAATTCAACCAACTGCTAACTAGAGGGTTTAATTTCATAACATTGACAGAGTTGGGGGATTAACCCGAAACATGAGGATCTGGAGATAAATCTCAATGTATGGGAGACGTGGGTGCTACCATGCTAATATCCTCAAAGCCCTAATTTTGTACAAGGTTCTAATGTATATTTAAAAAACAAACTTTTTTAATTATAGAGTGCTAACATTTATTTTCGATGATAAGTTTTTAAAAATAAAAATCTCACCCAAGTACAATCGTTGAACTACTTTTATAGTTTTATATTGCTATAGCAAAAATTTTAAGGTCATTTATCATGGGTTATAAAAATTAGTACACCAATCAACATAGAAAATGGAGCGTTATATTTTTATTAGTACAAATATTCATTTTGTTTCTTATAAAAAGGATCCAAAATCTATGTGGAGTACTCATTTGTTGGTCTTCTAGACTGTACTCTCGATTAATTAGTTGATAATCACAAAATATAATTGAGTAGTAAATCCCACAACTTTTTACGACGTTCCGTACTTTAAAAGAAGAAAAAATGTTTATAATGTCATGTGGTTCCAACTCCACGTTTGCTATATCCACTTCCAAACAGTAATTTTTAGAGTTGGATTGTCGAAAATGCCCTTTTGATTTTCTAATAAATTTTATTATTATCCTTCATTATAATCTAACACTTCAAACATTTCAAACACTTAAACAAATTTTATTAACGATTTTAAAAATTCAAATTATATTAAAATTAAACCAACATTTATATATGTTCTCAAAAAAATTTAATTTTTTTTAATAACACTTCAAACATTTTTAACAAATAAAAATCATTAATAGTTTTCATAAAAAATCAATTAACGATATAGTTCCAAATCCTACAATTAAAATGCACAATTAAAATGGAATTAGTTAATAAAACAAAACAAAAAAAATTATAACCCACCGGACACGGTGTCCGATGGCCGACAGGCGCGTCAGACTATGTGTCCGGTGGGCAACAAAAAAAAAGTGTCCGGTGGGACACAAAAAATGACAGAAAAATTAATTACCCACCGGATTGGCTGTCCGGTGGGATTGGCTGTCCGGTGGGAGAAGGGCAATTTAGTCCTCACACACCCCCAAAGTTACTGTTTGGGAGTGTGAATAGTTGGACCCTTCCAACTCATGCTGCTTGAATATTTTTAAATTAAATATATTATCAACTGAGGTTTAATTTATCTTATTTTGCTGCAAATTTTGAAAGTTGCAACATCACTTAACCCAACATAAATGCTTGAATATCACTTAACCAAAAACACCCTCGAAAAAACTCTCATCCACGTTAAGTAACCATGGAAAAAACACCAAGACTGATTTCTTCGATTTCGCTGTATTTATGAATAATAATAATGTTGGACCCAGAAGCTCTTCGGTCGGGTTATCAATGTATTTACCATATTTTTCATTTTTAATGGTGCTCCTATTTTGTTATATCAAAGCGAGATGCCGTGATTAAAGTTAATTTGTACAATGTTAAGGATTTTGATTGCCTCAACTAGGTTTCATCATCATGTATTAAATATCTCATCTAATAAGTAAATTGAAACCAAATGCACGCCGGCGCGGGGCGGGGCCGGCGGGGCACCACCTTAAGTTAAATTTAACGAAGATTATAATACATATATATTTTTTTTCAAGCTACGCCTAAGCAGGAATATAGATAGGTACAGAGCTATTGGAAAATAATTTCGTTGTTATAACACAACAGTAGAAGCAAGAATTTCTATGAAAAATGAAAAGGTTACCACTATAATTGGCTTATCTTCACTTTGTTTGATTTAATCTAATAAATCTATTTGTGGGCACATATGATTAATCAATGTGTATTGCTATCTTTCAGGATAACCCACTAAAGTGATCAATTAAGTTGGGTTAATTTGGTATTTAAATAAGTCATGGGGTTATATGTGCAGATACCAGGTTGTAATTGTGATTTATTGAGGGGCTAAATTACAAAAGTACAACATCTATAAATAAGGGGTTATGGTCCCTAATCTAGGGTTACTACATTCTCTAATTCTCTTCACCCCCATCTAAGAGAGAAATTCGGTTTTAGAGAAACCCTAAGGTTAGAAGATCCAAAACCCAAAATCAAGATCAAGCAATGGATTCAGGTATAAGCTCCCGCTTTTTTTTAGATCCTTGTTAATCTCTTTGAATTAATCATGGCTATATGGTTTTAGATCTCAAGTTTATGATGTAGATCTAACAAGTGGTATCAGAGCCAGGTTGATTAATTCTTAGGGATTTAAGTTTTATTGGGTTTTTTTGATCTTAAATCTCTTGTTAAAGATTCAATTTTTTGTTCTCGGATGAACAGTAATGTTCGGTGAACAGTTGCGAAATTTTTTTTTCGGATGAACAGTAACTGAAAAAATCGCCGGTGAACAGTAACTTTTTGGAATTTTCTTTGATTTTTTCTTCAATTTTTTCCAATTCTAGATCTGTTTTGAAAATAAAAATCAAAGATTTTTGGGTTTGACGACGGCGGTTTCAGTTTGAAACCCTAAGGGTTCATGGCGAAAATTGAGGAGGTGGTTACCTCAAACGAACGTTAATCTCTTTGAATTAATCATGGCTATATGGTTTTAGATCTCAAGTTTATGATGTAGATCTAACACACTTTGGTATCCCAGTTCAGCTCTTTTTTACTTTAATGTCCCAACATATTTTTTTAACACTTTGATACCTCAAGCTTTGAATCAAACTTTACTTTCATACCCCAATTATTACTGTTAACGTTCTGACACTATAGAGTTTCCATCCATTTCATTATGGTATCTCAATCCAAATGCCGTTAGATTTTCTGTTAAACTTGTATCACACACTTTGCATGTGGTAGATATAAATTCATTTGTATCCAATTGCTAGGCAACGACTATCGATTCAACATAAAATCTAACAATAATTTAAACATGGGTATCAAAGTAAAATAAGAATGAAACTTTGAGACATCAATTTGCTAAAATAATACTTTTCGGAAATGAGATTGAAATTCATATTCTCTATTCCTCTTCATATTAACTTACATCTCTTCGCTGCCCCTTTCTCCCTAATAAGCAAATCAATAAAGTTTATGAAACTAGCCACTAAATATTCATATTCTTCAAGTTTATTCAATTTTGGACTGAAGAAGAAAAAACTAAAATTTGTTATTGTAAGATAAATTCTTATGATGAGTATAAACAAAGTCCAAAAGATTAATGAAGAACATCCACAAATCATTGAACCCAAATAAAAAATAAAAATAAAATCATCAATAAATTGTAAACTCAAGCAACATTTTAAAAATTCAAACACATCAAATCCCTTAAGTGAACAAAACACATTAAATTTAAAAAATCCACCTAAATATCCAATACCAGAGGGAGATTACATAATAAAAGATCTAAATCCAAGCCTAATTTTGCAAATTTAGTAAAAAAAAAAAACTCCAAAAATTTAGCTTTAAGCTTGATTTAGGGCAAAATCAACTTTGAGTTCTAGGGCTTGGTAAATTTAGGGAAAACTTAGAAAAGTGGGTAAAATGGATTTTAACTATTGAGGGTTTAATTTAAGAGAGGGGTAATTTAGTCTTTCCGTCAGAATAGTCAAACTATGTTAATGGATTTTAACGACATAAACTTTACGGTATTTGTTTAGGGCGCGTTTGGGTGAAGGTTTTGGCCTCGGGTCTTGAGCAGAAAGCCTGCCAAAACGTCAGTTTTGACAGGGTTTCTGCCCAAAACGTCTTTTGGAAGGCTTTCTGCCCCAAAACGCCTTTAAAAGAGGCGTTTTGGGCGGAAAGCCTGCCACGTTTTGGCAGGATTTCTGCTGGCAAAAAACTTATTTTTTTTTCAACCAAACGGGCCCTTACAGCAAAACACAACTTATGATATTTAATTACAACAAATGAGAAATTATTTGGCATTTAAGTGCAATTTAGCCAAAATATTATTAATTTATCTCTAAATCCAATAAACATAAGAAATAACATTGAGTTTACCACCAAGTTTCAAGCGTGAACACCACAATCTATTTATTTATTAACCCTCACTCACAAAAAAAAAAAAAACAACAACAAGCAAGCTCTAATTCCAGTCGGCGAACTCCAAAGACAAACAAATTCAACAACAATTCAAATCCTCGATCCCTAATTCCCAAACCTCCACGTGTTAGCAAACAAACCCTAATCGGTGAGATTCCTGATCCGATCCACAATCCATCGTATTTATTCATCCTTATTTTTTTTCGTTCTCTCTTTGATCTTCGACTTCGACCTCGAGAATGTAGGGGGTCGATCTTTCTTTTTTATGAATTAATTAGGTTTTTTTTGTTTAATTTTGTAAGTTCGATTCTTGTTTTTGTGATTGAAGGGAGGATTTGTTGGGTCTCGCGCAGCAGATCATGGGGCAAGTCACTTGGGAAGCTGATAAGATGTAGAAGATACTGAGATTTCTAATTTTTGAATGAAATTTAGTTTTTTTTAAAAACTTTTGATTTTTATGGGTTTTTTTAATTGCTTATGACAGGCTTGATGTTTATATATATGATTATCTCGTGAAACGAAACTTGCAAGAGACTGCGAAAGCCTTTATGGCCGAAGGGAAAGTGGCCACGGATCCAGTAGGTAATTACTATTTTCTTTGAAAATTTGGAATTTTAGTAGATATTAGTTGCTTAATGTATTTGTTTAGCAAGAAACAGGAAATTCCTTCAGAGATATAAATGGATGTATGTGATAATGGAACTTGCAGTCCATTTATTTTTTCCTTTGTATATAGAATCACTAAGGCAACAGAAGTGATAAAAGCGAAAGTTTGGAAGTCCATTTATGGACAACATGATTGGGAGAAAGACTACGGCATATGTTGGTGGTTAAACAAGACTGCTTTAACCAATGCTTTCCTGTCATGTCCATATTTTGTACTCGTATGTTCATATTTGGCAGTGATTTACAGTTATTTGAAAATGCATGTTATTGTACATGCATCTCAAATTTGGCAATAAACCAACTCATTTACTAGCACTTAGAACTTCTTGATTGCTATTTTTAGAAAGATAAAATTGCAGCTTTGCAAGCGCTGTTCATATTTGGCATCTGTGTTTTTTTTCCTACGTGACGAGATCCTGCTTTCAGGTATTTTATTGAGCTCCTTGGAGAAATCTCCTGCTGTTTTATCTCATTGCTTTGGCGTTCTCTCCCGTTTGATTTAAAAAAAAAGAGATTATGCTATTGCCTCTCTGTCTTCTGGCTAGCACTTTCTCAACGTCAATGTTCTATTAGAAATTCACATGTTATCCTATCCGGTTGCTCTAGCTTTCTCTCTGATACGGTTTTCCGCGATGAGATTCCACTCTCGCCATTTGGTCTTTTGTCGAACTCCTTCTTAACGCCAATGTTCTGTTGTAAAGCTCCTTGCAGTCCTTTCTCTTTGCCTGGCTTCTCTCATGTCTGGTTTTCACGATGAGATTCCACGACCTTTTTGAATCTTCTATCGAGCTGAGCTCCTTTTGGACGTCAATATTATTTGGAAAAAGCTCCTTGCCATTCAATTCGATCGCTCTGGCTTTGCCTTATATCCGGTTCTCCGTGCTCTCTATACAGTTGTGACATTGATCCTTGAATTTTTGGAATGCAAAGATATGACTATTATATTAGCAAACTTATGATACCCAACATCAAAAGGGGAGGGTCAAGAAAGAAAATGCCAATCTGGAAGATTTATAAATTTGGATTATATGAAGAAAGAAATCAAGGAATAATGGAAGGCGTTATTAGCTACCTATAATACATTACACACGTAAAATAAGTTGGGTAGTATTGGTCGGAATAAGACATAATTGGATTCATTAGTAACACTTATTTGGCATGTGCTAATATGTTAGCTTTCACTGATTGTAATTGTTCCCCCATAATTAGCCTGGAATCCAGACTAGAATAAAGCATCTTGCCCTTCGATCAATATAAGAAATAGAGAGGAGTTTCCCCTCTTTCTTCCAATGTATCTTTCTCCTTCCAGAATTGTTAAGAATAAGAATATCCAAGGAATTGGAGGGGGAATTTTATAAGAATGCTATATGCTCAATATGATTTTGGAGCCAGAAAGTTGGGCAGTTTATGGAAAAAAAAAACATCGCGAATCAACCGGACAAGATTGTCAGATGAATGAGTGACCCTATGCTAAAAGATAATGCAACAATTCATAGGAAGTTAATAGAGGTAGATTAAAAAATGATGAGAGAGCCTATTGAGGTGGTTTGGGCATGCGCAACGAAGACTACGAAGGACTAACTGACTAAGGGTAGACCTAACAAGAATGTAGGAAAATTTGTTATGCTGGTTGTTAATATATGGAGAATATTCCCCACAATAAAGAATGGAAGCAAATACTTGATGTAGATAACTCCTAACTTGGTTTCGGGGTGGGGTGGGTTTGAAAGCTTTATTGTTGTCGTCATTCTTGTTGAAGTTCTAACTTATTAGTGTAGGTTTAGACATTCATGAATTGTGTGTTTTTCAAGCTAAGATCAATTGCTCAAACTCATGGCTTCATCAGTGACTTTTATAATCTATTTACCTTCTTCCATTTGGTACTTCTTGTGTTTTAGCATGCTTTTTTCTGATCCCCAAACTTCCATCGGATATCTCCAAATCTACTTTTCCTAAGATGACTTTTAATATTGCTTTTATCTTATTCATCTGATAGATGATAATGGAGATTGATACAAGTTAATACAAAACTCCCGTTGACTTGTTCTCCTTAAAAAAATCATCTGGCTTATGTTTAACCTTGTAGCAATCGATGCCCCTGGAGGATTTCTCTTCGAATGGTGGTCTGTGTTTTGGGATATATTTATCGCAAGAACAAATGAAAAGCATTCGGATGTTGCTGCAACATACATTGAGGTTAGTTTCTTAGGAGTAAAACTGTCCCTTTTCTATCAGACTATCTTGGTTTGTAAGTTACATTATTTGTTTTTTTATTGTCTGTTACATACACAGATGCAACAACAGAAAGCAGCTAAGGACCATTCAAAGATGCAACAATATCAGCTAATGCAACGACAAGCATCATTACAAAGAAGAGATGCTAATCATCCTGCTCTTGGTGGTGCTGGTGACGGGAATTCTGATGGCATTTTGGGGTCTTCTGTACCATCTTCTATGGCTGCCAAAGCATATGGTGAACAATTGAAGAATTCAAACTCGATAGATTCTGAGGCTCTTAAGGCTCCAGCCACCCATCCAGGGTATAACAGTAATGTTTCCATCTCATTCATTTGGAAGCTCTTGAGAGGGAGGAATAAACAATACTTTCTGTTTTACTGGTACAGGCTGTTAGTCCAAGGTCAGCCAGGTAATATATCTTCAGCACTGCAGCAAATTCAAGGACAGAATCAAATTGCTGTAAGTATTAACAGTACCTGCCCTCAAGGTTTTCTGCTTAATTTTTATTAGCTTTTCTATTAGTTTTCTCTTTTATTCTTATCGTATTCTTTTGTTGTCTTCATAACTATCTCAGGATGTTAAGCCTGGTTTTGGTGTTCCTCAAAGATCATTGCCTATGGATCCGTCGTCTTTATACGGGCAGAGACCTGTACAGGGAAAGCCTGGACTTGGTGCTGGTATTGGTGTGTAATTGTGGAGAATGCCTATGGTGTTTCCCTTATATTCTTATCCCACTCATTTTTCACCTGCAGGATTGAACCAAGGCGCCAGTAATCCTGCAACATTGAATGGCTGGCCATTGTCGGTGCGCAATCTTATTTCAAATCACCATAATATTTATAAACAGTTTAGTCCGTCCTCATTATTTTTGGGTTTAATTTCTAAATCTGTACTTCTCATTTTAAAAAGAAAATACAGAGTGAGCAAGTCCGCTCAAGCTTAGGCCCACAAGTTCCTAGACCTTTTATGTCATCATCAAATCAGTTTCCGGTTTTGCCGCCACAACTGCAACATGCCCAAATGCAAGGTAATATTGGTCATTCTCATGGCTATGGAATTTTGGACCCTCAAAGGATTAGGGCCTTGCAAAGGGGTGGTTTGAATGCCAAAGATGGTCAACCTACTGGAAGTGATGGACAAGCGGGCCCTCCATCACCTATGGTCAGACAGGAGCAACTTGAATATTTAATGAAGGTCAGCTCTCTCAGAAGGCATTACTGTAAAGCAATCATTGACTTTATGTGGCCTTGATGATCGGTACCTTGTTTCTGACACAATTGTTTATAAGTTTTTTGATGGCATTTTCCGTTTTTGGTTGTGACATCTGCTTGTGAATGAGTGAAAACCCTGAAATATCAGCAATTTTCTATTATTGTCCTTATGTCTACTTGCTTTGCCAAAGTTTATGAGAATATGATCCTTTAAAATTATTGGAGAAACAAACTTTCTGCTGGTGTTTAGGAATATTTTGACAACTTAGGAATATTTTGACAACTTTTTCTTCAGAAATTAAACGTTAGTCACCTGGGAAAATCTTGAAATTAACAATAATTCATTAGCTAGGGAACATCCTGGAATGTACCATTGGGAGATGCTGATTCACTTCATTTTATATGAATTGGTCAATTGCCAAGATAGACATTTTCACCAGTGAAGGAATCAGGCTTTCATAAATTACTTATGTTAGCTATCAGTATAGATTCTTTTAAGGTTTACTTGTATATATACTCCTTAAATCATGAGTATTTGCAGAACTAGCCTCGAATCTCAGTATTTGCAAAACTATCCTGAGTATCCTCCAAATCATCAACTTGGGGGCAAAACCCCAAATCGACAAAACTATCAACATTGTTAGATGTGGTGAGTAAAAATTTGATTATTTTGTGATGTGTCACAGTTGGTGATTTGTTGGATTGGGGGGTATTTTTTTTTTCTGATTTGAAGTGTAGTCTTGCAAATACCGAGATTTGGGGTAGTTCTGCAACTACCCATGTTTTAAGGAGTGTATATAAAAATAACTCTTATTTTTGTAGCTTGCACTAAAAAATCACTTTTGGGGTTAGGGGTCGGGTGGGTGATAAAATAGAAATCACGAGTCAAGAGCACTTAGTCATGCATTTGGCATATAATTTGCGCAAAACCTCCCCTTTTGTCAAAACTAATGGTATCCCGATACTATGGAGTTTGAAACATGTGTTCAAAATTCGACATTACTCTCTTTTAAGATTGCTTGTTGTGCATTTGCATAAAGGTGTTTTTTTCTCTTCAGTAGGACCATCATTCTCCTATTCTAATTTGTATTTCCTAATCTCTTCAGCGCACAAGATGTAGTAAGCCTCAATTTTTGGTTCCATGTCTTCAAGGCGCCCAAGGTCCTAAAGACTCGATTAATATTCACTACCCACTCTCAACTGATATACACCATGCACAGTGTCCACTTTTGAGTTGGTCAAGGAAGGGCCCATCAAAAGCACTTGCTATGTTTATATATAAATGTGGATTCCATGAGAACCATGGCTTAAGAAGTAGAAAAGTGGAATGGGTGAAAGATCAAAGCCTAGTTCAGTGAGGGCGAGCATGGGTAGATCTACATTGATCTGTCACCTCCCTCATTTACTTGGTGGAGATTGAGCCACATCATTGTCATATAAGGAAATTACCTCATATGAAAAGGGTATCCATATTATTCTATTTGGAAAAATAATACAAAAATATAAAACACATGAAATTTCATAACAATGCACGACTTAGATTAAACCACATTATATATGAGAGAATCCTTCATATGTGGTACCCATTAACCACTTTTCCAAATTTTCAACCGCTAATTTTCAAAAAAGAAAATTTAAACCCACACTCAATAAGTATTTGTCCCATCCCCTCTATTAAGTAATAAAAGGCTTGGCAGTTCGAGTTCGGGTTATCCACTTTTTCAAGGACATTGAAGTCCCTAACTAGTTCACTAAACATATCGAATGAGTTTTTGCCTTACTCAGATCGCGTCCAATTAGGATTTGACCTGAACCCAAATTAGCCGATCTGGTTTGCTACCCCTACATGATTATTGATATCACTTTTACTTTGAAAGCCTATATGCAAAGATAACATTTTTATATATTCTTGTGTTGTTTAAGATTATTAAGAGTATGTTTCTAATGTATAAAACATTCTCAGACTAAGTTGTTGTGGTAAGTTTGGGAATTAGGTTACCGGAGGTCCTAAATTCAAGTCTTGGCTTTTTCATCTTTCTTTGTTTTTTTGACTTACTGATACAAGCCAACACGTTTCCTTTCTTTCGGGCTTACCAATACTTGCAAATGGAAAAAGTTTTCTAAGTCGAAGTTGATATGGTAAGTTTGGGAATCTGGTTACCTGAAGTCCTAAACAATGTTACAGAAGACGTTAGGCGGACTAGGTGTTCAAGCTGGGGCCTATCACCTAGGCATACCCCTAGGCGGTGCCTAGGCATTTGCCTATTTTTTAATTTACTTAATTATAATAATTCACAAAAATATGTATTAACTTCATATAAAATCGCAAAAAAAAAAAACATAAATAACAATCTTAGATCCATAATCAACCATGCATAAATACTAAATAGCCAAGTTAGTAACCAAATACTAAGAAACATCATCATGTCCAACATAACAAGTCATCGCAATAGTAAATAATATTGCAAACTCAGAAGTCTAATGCTTAAGAAGGAAAAAAAACATGAATAGTCTATATGTCTAGCATAGGATAATCATATAATCTAATGAAATCATCGTCATCACAGAATCCTTCCCAGCATTATCGCTTTGCTTCGAGTTCATGTCCACGAAGTCCTCATCATCGTCTGTGATATCATCATCGGATGCAAGAGACTCTTTTTCGCTAGTAATCATCGAAGGTCCTCCAACTCCTGCTATTCTTTTACTCCGGTTCACCGCAACCTCAGCCGCTCCAGATACCTTCTCCACCAACACTAAACTAACACCCGAATTGCGATAAGTCTCTTCCTCGTCATCGAAGGGGACTCCATCTAGATCCATGCACGTGTTGTAGTACGATCCTGTGTTGTAGCATGTCTTTGTCTTCTCCTCTCCTCTTCTTTTGCTTGAGCTTGACATTGAACTTCACAAACACAAGATCCTCTAATCTCTTCAACTCCAATCGGTTTCTTTTCTTCGTGTGAATCTTTAAAGAAAAGAATAAATTAGTAAAATCATAAATGGATACCTTTATCTTGTTAATTTTAGATATTTATGTAATTTACCTCCTCAAATGTGTTCCAGTTCCTTTCGCATTCGGAAGAATTGCTAGTGAGATTAAGAACCCTTGTCTCCAAGTTTAAACTGAAAGTAACTAAAATTAACTAAAATTGAACAAGACTAAACTAAAATTAACTAAAGTTAACTAATTAAACTAAATTAACTAATTAAACTAAAATTAACTAAATTAACTAAAATTGAACAAGAATAAACTAAAATTAGCAAAAATTTTAACTAATTAATTAAACTGAAATTAACTAAAATTAACTAAAATTGAACAAGATTAAACTAAAATTAACAAAAATTAACTTAATTCAACTAATCAAACTAATCAATTAAACTAATTGAACAAAATCAACTATTTAAATTAAACAAATAGTTTATAAGTGAAATGTTGGTCTAAAACAGTAAATAAGCTTAAATAACAGTTTAAAATAAAACAAGTTGAACATCTCACCCGAGGGCCAGTGAGAGGTGGTCCGGCGGCGACGGGGTTTCGGCGGGGTCCCAGAGGGCACAACGGGGGTCGGGCAGAGGTCCAGCGAGGGTCCAACGGGTGCGGGAGAGCTGAAGAGGGTGAGATGTGAGAGAGGGTGAGAGACCGTGAGAGAGAGGAGAGAGAGGCGGCTGGGTGTGAATAGAGAAGGGGAGAGATAGTTTAGGTTAAAGTTTTGGTTTTTGGGTAACGGGTAGGTTTAAAGTTTGAAGTTTTTTACTTCAGAAAGCTAGGCGACCCGCTTAAATTTTTTACTTCAGAAAGCTAGGCGGCGACTAGGCGGAGCGGCCGCCTAGGCAGGCCACCCAGGCTGAAATTAAGCGCCTTAGTGCCCGCCTAGGCCGCTATTTAGAACATTGGTCCTAAATTCAAGTGTCTGCTTTCTCATCTTTCCTTTCCTTTGTTTTTTGACTTACCTATACAAGTCAACTTCCCCCCTTACTTTCGGGCTTGCCAATACTTGCAAATGGAAAATGTTAAATGATGATTCTTATTTCTCAACTTACATAGAAAGCAAATAACTAGTAGCAGTTATGGTCAATTTAAGATTGCATAAGAAAGAATAACAAATCTATGTTATATTAAACTCCAAAAACTAGTCAAGATTACATAAATACACATTCAATATACTGATAATATATTTACTAATTTAAAGATTCTATTATGTTATTATTTAGACCTAAACATCATAATGTTTAATTTAAAAGTAAGATTCCTAACTAGATCTTTTTTTCTAATCAAATTCATTATATCTCATGATTGTCTTTATCAAATCTATGTCAAGATCTGTATGCAAAAATATTTTCATGATCATAATTATATGTCGGTATTTCTCATATAGACGCCATAGATGCCTAAAATAATCCATAGGTTAAGTTCACAAAACACACCTAAACTTTGGAGGGTGTTGCACATAACCCCCTGTTTATCCCACTTAACCCCCTGAACTATAACCCCCTGAACTTTGGAGGGTGTTGCACATAACCCCCTGTTTATCCCACTTAACCCCCTGAACTATGGGGCGTCTCACAACCCCCCATAAACTTTACCTCATCTCACCTAGCCCCCTTGTAAATTGCAAATAACTAAATTTTTCTTGAGAGAAAAAAACTCAAAATTTTGATGAGGGAGTATGTTGCGAATAAATGACAAGTGACAAAGTTTGAGATTTTTTCCACTCAAAAGACATTGTAGTTATTTGAAAACTACATGCAGTTCGGTTATGTGAGATAAGATGAAGTTTTTGTTCTTTTTTTTGGGGGGGGGGGTGTTATGTGAGATAAACAAAGTTTATGGGGGTTATGTGCAACGACCCCCACAGTTCAGTGGGGTTTTGTGAAATTAGCCCTAAAATCTAACTTTGTTACGTTATGTTCACAGTGGAAAAAAATTCCCCGTCTGCCACTGGACTTGCCCCCATTCCCCACACCTTTCATCTCTTTGCACTTTGCGAAAACCTTTGAAGTTTGTAAATGAATGATATACTTAATGAGTCCATTTACTATTGTTTAATCTAATTGTTTATCTGTTCCCAAACTTCGCCAAAATATTTGCTTAGAGTTTGTAGTTGGCATACACTCAAACGTAAAATGCGTTAGACTTTACATGTAATTATGTTTGGTTCAGTTAAATGAATAAACTGTTTCTTTGGATAGAAAAAATATAAAATGATAGACAAAAGCAGTAGAATTGTAAAACTCATATCACCTTCAGGAGTTTATCATACATAAAAGTGAAGCTGATATAGAAGTTACCTATTAATGGTAGTTCTTGTCAAGGGTGTTGCTGTTTATATGGGTTTCTGTTAAAAAGTTACTAACCTAGAAACATGAACAATATAAATTTGAGGGTCATAAGTATTAGCTGTCACTTTGTGCAAATCGTTGCCAAAATTTTAACTGACAGATGCGACCTAAGACCGTACAGTTACAACTGGAGGAGGTTCGCGGGTTTTGTTTAGTCTAGGAGAAAAAAATCAGCAACAACAAAGCCCACCATGTCCCAAGGGAGTAGAGGGTGGGGAAGGGCGAATAAAAGGAGGGGGAAAAAGATTGTAGAATAAAGCAAATCACCTGAACTTTATAAAGCTGCAAAGCTACTTAACACTCTTGTACGCTAGCCTCCGCCCTTCCATGCACGCTTTCATTGTATGCTGTTTTTCAATGATAGTGATTCTCTCTGTGCTGTTTGGCGCAGCACTGGGTGAAGGCTTGCAACGCATTAAGGAAAAGCCGCGGATGAAACCACATAAAAATTAGGAACTTATAAATCTGTTCGTCTTCTCAAGTGGGTTCCACAGGGGCTGAGATTTTCCACTGGAGTGGGTCCCATCGGTTACGAAAATTTCCAAAAATGTATAGATAAAATCTTATTTCGTTGTTTTATTGTTTTCTTCTAGTTTGTTTCTTATGGAATCTTCCAAATCGGAGAAGCACCAAAGTAAACTATAACATATTTTTTTATGTCTTTGGATAAATTTTCAGAGATCTGAATTCTGTAAGCCTTAAAATCTGCTTCACCCCCCACGTAACCCGTAACTTTCACAACTCCTTATATGTTGCCTGTGAAGAAAAGACCTTTTCACAACTCCTTATATGTTGCCTGTGAAGAAAAGACCTTTCCAGATTTGGGAAGTTAATACTGGAAATTTCTGCCTAATCCTGCTTGCCCATGAAGAAAGACCTTTTGGGATCTGAAAAGTTGACGGTATAATTTTCCTCCCTTTTAAAACATAAAACATTGTTCCACTGCTGCTTTATTAGTGCACAGTTTATTTTTTTTGGAATTCTTGGCATGATCCCCTTCTACAAAAGAGATTTTTCAGATCCAATAAGTTAATACGGACCCCCCCCCCCCCCCCCCCCCAAAAAAAAAAAAAAAAAACCTCACAAAAAAAAAAAAGAAAAAGAAAAACTGCATGATGAAATGATAGGGGAATATTTCTTCGATCTCTGTTTTTAGATTTACTATCATTATCATTTATCCATCTCTGTTTTTAGATTTACTACAAAATTACTGTTGCATTGCTTTCCAAATGAGCCGAATCATGTAAAGACTTAATATCAAACCAAAGCGTTGAATTTGTTGAATATTTCTTCGATCATTTGGCTCTGTGGCCAACCATTTTGATATGATAGGGGAATGGGCGATGATGATCTCTCACGGTGGTTTCTGCATTCTGTGCCTTATGGTAGTAACATATGCATACTTTCCTCTTATGGTTACTTCATGTGAAAAGTTTGCCATCTCTAATATATTTAAAAGTGTGCCATCTCTAATATATTTACTTTTTTTTTGGTTGAAGATGGCCCAGATGCAGCAACCCTCAGCTCAGAAACCTCAAGAACAGCTTCAGCATCAAAATCATTTACAACAGGTATTAGTGGGAATGTATACGATTTCTGCTTCTTTTGCTTGTTTTAGTTATTAAATAATTTTATCTCGCACAGTTTAATGCAAGTTTTTCTGGCTAAGGACTAATTGATTTTGTTCTATAACTGTGTATTGATGAATCAAGATTATTAGAAAGAGAAAGCCGACTTCTTCTGGAGCTGCAAACAGTTCAGGTACAGGAAATACGGTTGGACCTTCAAACTCCCAACCATCAACTCCATCTACTAGTACACCAGGTGATGGAGTTGCAGTTGGTAGTAATTTGCCACATGCAAGCACTATGCCAAAAAGTTCGATGATGTATGGCACAGATGGAGCAGGTGGACTCGGTTCTTCCACAAATCAGATGGTATCTTAAGCAGTA